GGAAATACATGTATGCAAGATCATATTTTGTGCTTAACGAAATAAATGGAGACTCAACTTATCTACTCACAATGCGTGCCTAGTAACTGCACATGTATGTATAACATATATATGAACTACAACAAACATACAGTTTAGTATCATGGATTCAGTCAGCGAATTACAAAAACCAGATCTTAATTTCATAACAGCTCTTCCTAAGCAAGTTCTAGCACCATAAATGTTCTTAATTATTTAGTACATCAATTTAACAAAAGAACGGCATTAAAACAAACCAAGCAGACAAATATATGAGGAAAGAGGTTAACTTAGAATCATTTTTTGATCTCGCGTGTAGTTTCAAATAAATACTGTTACGGTGCCACTGCCACCTTGACCTCCTGATGCATATACCTTCAAGTCTGCAATAACACTATCAAAGATATTCCATCTGAACAGAGTAGTTTGTGCTTTTAAGTTGTGGATCACTGGGTGAGGATAAAATTAAAAGAACATTTCAAGTAAACAAACCCGTACCTTTTGCATGTAAGGAACATAGCGAAGTACATTGAACAAATCGTGTACTGCTCCAAACCGACTTATCCACTTTCCAACAATATTAGAAGTGGTGCTTGAGTTTGCTGTGCAGAGGTACGACCACGCCTTCGCTGAATTGAATCACCTAATTGCTTGTATAGCACAAATTTAGCCATCCAAGTAGTACGTAGCTTCAGATGTCTGAAATTAAAGAAAGCACATTATCAATATTCCCCAAAACAAAACTCTAGGCTGTACGTCCCAGATTTCAGTAGCACAACACAACATAAAAATCATCAAAAGCAAAAAACCTACTCTCTTCTTGCTCCTTCTGTACCTGCGGCCAGCCTGCAATAGTTCCTCTTCTCGGCAACTTCACCAACAATAGGGGCTGTCCAATCAGATACAAACTGTCTTTGATGTACCGCCTTTTCCGCTGCATTGGATTTCAGTTTTGGTTGGGCATGGAATGCGAAATTGGAAGGATGTCCTGGTGCAGTGGATATTAAAAGGTTGCAGAGCAGGGATCAGGGAGAGGATTCCTATTCGCAAAAAAAGGGAGAGGCTTCCTGGATCGTTTTACATGGAGGACACGTGAATAGTGGAGAACAATTAGGAGGAGGAGCACTGGAGGAGGACGAACGGGGCTACAGATGTGGATGATGCATTGGTACCGCGAGGGGCTACGGATGTGGAACGAGGGATGCGGTTGCCTGTGCTTGTTCATGGCCGTACCTTGGATTCACCGTTGGTCGCAGGGGAGCGGTGACGAGGGGCGGCGCGCCGGGATGCAGGGCTGCAGGGGTGGTGACGAGGGGCGGCGCGCTAGGACGGAGGGTCGCAGGGCAGCGGTGAGGAGCGGCGCCGGGACAGAGGATCACAGGGGAGTGGTGAGGGGCGGCGTGCAGGGATGCAGGTAGGTCGCAGCCGCGCAAAGGAGTGGCAACGACTGACGAGCGGCGGCGGCCGGCATGGGAGGGCTCGAGAGGAGAAGGGGAGGCTGGGGAAAGGGAACGACTTAGTCGTGAAAGCTAACTTGGGCTGGGTTAGTGCATTGGGCTTTACATGGGTCACGAGCTGCACTACAACGCATATGCTACAACGTCTACTAGATCATAAAGGCGCGCTTTGCCGCGCCCGTCCCTTAATGGAAATATAGATGCAGGCTTTCAAATTGTTGACAAATATGCCTTAACAAGCTTTCCCTGGTTCAACCTTAGTAAGCTAAAATGGTTTGAACCATATTTTTAAATAATAATCAGTGTCGGCTAATCAATACTACAAGGGGAGGAGAGTCATACTAATAAAACCCCAAAAAAATCATGACCATGCTTCTATAGATCGAACAGAGGATGTCAAAATGTTGTGGAGGGGCATAGCTCACGTCGTGTAATTGTCCCTTAATTTCCATGCTTATGCCTTTTTAGTCACTCAGGAAATACTCACAATTGCAAGTTCTTGATTAATCTCCAATGTCTAGAATGAGATATTAATCAAACAAGAGCACCACTGAAAAATGAAAATTGGCAATAGAAGGGAATATTTTCAACTACTACAATATCACACATGGAATTATCAGGATGTAGGAGAATACCTTCAGACATTGCCTACGATGCAGGCATTACATAATTTGCCTGGAGATGAGCAATGCAGCGTGAGCCTAACCATTATGCACCAATAGTGGTTGACGCGATAAGCAACGTGGAAGCCGGCAAGCAATCAACATCTGCCAGATCTTACCACACTCAAGTCAACACACATAATTTCTTACCACCTCAGATACTTGCAAGGTTATAGAATTGAACACAACAAATCTCTCTCTCTCTCTACTCAAGATCACATGCTTAACAGCATCATGATGAAAGGCAAATGGTATTCCAGCCCCCTAATTTATAGTAGAATTCATTGATTTATTTCCCAATTCTCCATCCCAACAAGAAAAATAAACATGATCCAAGAAAATCAATATAAGCATGGAATTCACAAAATAAAATAAAATGAATAACGTTTAACGGGGCAAGATTTCTTCTCAACGGACTGCAAAACGAGGGCTCAAATCAATCAGTATGTGATTCCACAGCAATCCAAGCAAAGTGTATGGAGAGATGTGTGTTTACCTATGAAGCTGAGATTAGTGACGACGCATGTCAGCTTCAGTTATGGAATGGGAACTGATGCGTTGTACAGCTGCAACGCGTGGAGGCGGATGCAAGAGAAGGACAGCCGGCGATGGACGACGATGACGGGGGCAGGCGCCGTGCTGCCATGGAAGAGCGCTGCAAGACATGAAATTAAAAGGCAGTAAATAAGGGGCTCCGGAGGAAGAGTACAGGAGCGTGAACAGCACCGACGCGGACTCAGTCGTGCAGCAGAAGCTTCCCGACAGCGACGGCGCATCGCGGAGGATGAAACGGCGGCACCTCGCGTAGGAAGGAGCTGTTCGTTCGGGGGAATAGCGCTGGAACTTGGACGACCTAGCCTATTTGGCATGCAAATGAAAGACCTGGGCCTTGGACGGCCCGTTTAAGGAGAGAAACAGAAGCTCGTTCTATGGAGCAGCAGCCCGCAAGACGGTTTGTCAAACGTGTGTGGACGACGTGGGATGACCGAGTTGATCTGCATCGTATGTTTGAGTGATCCAACGGCTGAGAGACGCGAATCGCTGTGGAGGCTCCTAGCTCGCCTCGTTATACTGTTTCTCAATATGCGTATCTCTTTTAAACTTTGCAACCTATAGTCAAAATGTTGTAGAATATGTGTTGCATTATAGGGGGTATCCTTGTAGTGAACGCTTCAACAGGAACTACATCAAGCAGCCAACCGACCGGGACTAAAGGTCCCCCAGCCCCCGAGCTAGCACGCGACCATGTGGAGGGACTTTAGTCCCGGTTGGTGTCACCAACCGGGACTAAAGGTACACCAGCCCCCGGCATGCGCTCACGGCCACGTGGAGGAACTTTAGTCCCGGGTCGTGGCCAACCGGGACTAAAGGATGGGGGCCTTTAGTCCCGATTTAGTTGTCCCGGTTGGTGACCCGGGACTAAGGCCTTTTTCAACCGGGACTAAATCTCGTTTCTCTACTAGTGTAGGTCTGTAAATCTCTCCTACTTCAAAAAATACCTAAGGTTTTGCCATACGTTGCTTAGTTTTTTCCAATTTCTTCCTTCTCATCCCACCTACATTGTTTCTCATTTTTCTGAGTTTCTTTTAGGTAGAACCTTGTAAATTAAATTTATTTTAAATAAGAAATACAATGCACGATCCTAGGGGATCATGTACGATATCTTCTGTGCATGGTAGAAAAAAACAATTTCCTACCATCGTCTAGAACAGAATAACAACACCTACATTGTTCACAAATTACATGGGCAAATGCACAAGAGACAGTGAGCAAATATTACTCCCTCCGTCTCATAACATAAGACCGTTTTGCAAGCTTGAAACTACTTGTAAGACGATCCTATATTATGGGACGGAAGGGGTATATTTTAATGAGAAAAGAAACTAACTTATAAAGTACATATCATTGTGATACCAAATGGAAGACATGAATCGTGCACCTCACACCAGCAGGGGTCCAATACTTTTAGGATTTTGGCTACATGTATACTAGTGCAGTTCAGTGCTACTAAGCCACTCCAATTGCACATGACAATAAGGAACTATGTGTAATGATCACATCGCATACGATTTTAAAACAGAACCATGTGCCCGAAAACGAACCGTGTCAGATGGACGACTCATCGCACATGCATGGTTAGATCCAACCATGTGCGTTGGCATCCCATCACG